CCAAGTGAAACATTAGAATTCCAAATATTACTTGAGAAGGATAATGTTAATTCCTTGTCAGCTTTAAACTTATCCAACATTTACTGTTAGGTATTTTCACTCATATTGTCTCCTTAATCCGTACAACTATCCTATAATATTGACATTATTAACTTCATTTTACAGTGAAAAAAACCAGTATCCAGAAAGGTGAAGTAGTTGGCCCAATGTCACATAGCTACTAAGTCGTGAAGCCATGATGAGGGTGTAAATTCTCTTAATCCTAAATCTAGCACTCTGAATTATCCCATATGCATCCTTATCATGGATTAAATTACCGTTTCCCTAGCAAATAAATTTTAGAAGAAACACAACTAGAATGTTCCTTAGAAGCAAGGATGGCGAGACTTCGTCTCACTTACTTTGAACACGTCATAAGGAAAGACCGATCGCAAGAAGAGAACATCATGTAATGGACTTACACATACCAACCATCGTGAAGATGGTGCACGACAGACTGGGCGACGTTTCATTCTGTTACGCGTGAGGTCACCATGAGTCAAGCTGATGCGCTGGCAACTAACAACGACAACAAGCAGAGAACAGAGCCAAGGTCGAATGGAGCTAGAATGGATAAGCTTAGGCTGGGGAGGAGGGAGTCACCAAAAGGTCTGGGTTTGGTAGGTGTGATTCGAGAGGCGCTGTAGAGAATCCTGGAAAGCCAGGAGGAACGAAAGGGCACTGGGAACGTGGGTGTTAGAAAGACTAGAAAGTCAAAAACAAGCAGTGCCTATGTGACAATAGGACCCAGCTCAAGTTCAAGTGGGTGCAACATTCACCAATAAAGACAACACCAGGGTGAGGAACAAAGAGAGGACTTATTCCAAGGCTGTGCGCAAGCCGAGGCAGAGGAAGGCAGTCCTCAGATTCTGCCTGTCTTGGGTTACATGGGTCAGATTTTTTTATACTCTGAGGAAGGAGGGAGTTCTTTACAAATCATACAACTACAGGATTTTACATTTTCTAACATGCTCCTCAAGCAAGTGCAATACAGTCCTAACTTCATCATGTTAGCACGTCTCATTATCCTGTTAAGTCTCCACCCAGGGGAGTGATTTTTAATATGTTAGTGAGCCCTTCTCTGACCTTTGGGCTCACAGTTCTGGTGGAAGGGTTAACATTTCCCAGATGGCCTCTTGTGGTTATTGTTCTGAAAGTTTAACAGGGGGTTGCTGTTTGTTCTTAGCAAGTTTTGTGTAAACTAGGCTCTTTCAGGACATACTGATGGTATCAACAACGCCAGCTTTTACTGTATCTTCTTTCACCCAGATTTTTTTTTTTTTCTCATTAAGATACTTGCTCTGACTAAGACAGTAAAGGCCAATGCAGGTCAAAAAATAATCAGGAAGTGTATTCATACTAAAAAAGCCAGAACCACAGTTGCAGCATTTGGGAACTAGAAGCCCTCAGCCTCCTGTTGCAGAAAGAAAGACTGCAGTTTGAATTGCGGTTCTTGGAATGAGATTAAGTAACAAAGTTCTTCAAGAAAGAAATCTCATCCCCAAGAGCAGTTTCTGAGAGAATAAAAATTGGGACATCTGCTAGCAGGGGTCCTTTAGGAACATTGTACTGGTTGTTACAAACCACAAGCAGGTCCAGGGCCTTTCAACAAGCTGTTCAGTGATCCTTGGACATTTGCACTCAATGCTCATTTTTAGCCAACAAGGGCAGCCCTTTTGGAGGGAAGTAATAACCACCAGCCTGAGGGCCACCTGTGCAAATGTGAGGAGCCCTCAGACTTGGGGCTTCGTTTAGTAGCTTTGGGGCAGTTGCGGTTTGTTTTCAGCATCCGTTGGCAAAATCACTTTCTGATTTCTGTGTTTACTACCCTCGTAGAACCCACTCTCCAAGCCTGAAAATAGCTTCCATTTATTAGAAACCTACTATGTGTCAGGTACTACCATGACACACCCTTAGGAGGTAGATAGCCTCAGTTTCCTGTTCAGCTGAGGAATCCCCACCCTCCACCCAGAAATGGTAAGAGATTGCTCACTGCTGCACAGCTAAGGGAGTCTTGGTGGCGCAGTAGTTACAAGCTTGGCTGCTAACCAAAAGTCGGCAGCTTGAATCCACCAACGGCTCCTTGGAAGCCCTATGGGGCAGTTCTACTCCGTCCTGTAGGGTTGCTATGAGTCGGAATTCACTTGACGGCAACAGGGTTGGTTTGGGTTTGGCACAGCTAAGTCAGAGAGGCTCAATGTGGACAGCCCCAAAGCTGGAGCACACCAGATTGTCTCAGGGGTAGTATCCTTGGGATGGATGTGGGTGGAACTGCTGGGGTCACAAACATACGATGAAGGGCATAAAACTTGCATATGCCTATTATGTGCTAGGCTACTGGCCAAAAGGTTGGTGATTCAAACCCACCAAGCGGAACCTCCGAAGACAGGCCTGGTGATCTGCTTATGAGAAGTCCCAGCCCTGAAAACTCTATGGAGCACAATTCTGCTCTGCACACATGGGGTCTCCAGAAGTTGGAGTTAACTCATTGTCAACCAATAACAAGATATTCCAGGCCTGCTCACAGCTATAAATCTAGCCCGGCAAAGTCTCAGGAGGACCAGAAACCCAAAAAAAATCAAACCCAACTGCCACTGAATCGATGCCAACTCATAGTGACCCTATAGCACAGAGTAGGGTTTCCAAGGCTGTAAATCTTTACAAAGCTGACTGCCACTTCTTTCTCCAGCGGAGCAGCTTGTGGGTTCAAATAGCTGGCCTTTTGGTTAGCAGCCGAGGGCTTTAACCACTGCAGGAGGAGCAGAGCCTGTGTGGAATGCTCTTCTGAAGCCTTCTGAAGATTCTTTGCCAATCCATGCATTAGACTAATGAGGTTGCGCATGCCTGGAGCCTTGCCTGGCTGGTGGAAGGTGCTCAATAAATGCTGCCTCTTTCTGTCCATACAATTTTCCTACATACAGTCAATCCTCATTACTCAGGTATTCCATATTTTCGAATTCGCCTACTCACTAAAATTTATTTGTAGCCCCAAATCAGTACTCACAGCACTTTCAAGGTCATTTGTGGATACACAAAGAGTGGTAGAAAAGTCGAGTCACCCGACATGCATGTTCTCAGCTGAGGTCAGACAAGGTGATGCTCCGCCTTCTTTGTTTCAGTGCTCATACTCTAAACAAGTGTCCTTTTTACAGTCCAGTTAGAACCATGCTTTTCACGGTCGTGTGCTTTTTGTGGGTGATTTTGCTATTTAAAATGGCTCACGAGCGTAGCATAGAAGTGCTGTCTAGTATTCCTAAATACAAGAAAGCTATCATGTGCCTTAACGTGTTTTAGATAAGCTTCCTTCTGGCGTGAGTTATAGTACTGCTGGCGATGAGTTCAATGTTAAAGAATCAATAATATATATATTAAATAAGGTGTCTTTAAGCAGAAACAAACATAAAACAAGGTTACGTATTGATCAGTTGTCAAAAATTTTGTGAACAGAGGCTCATAGGAGCCTAACCTTGTATTTCCCCCAGGAGCAGTTTTGCAGTATTTGCTAATTCGTTGTTAGTGATGTCTTTAAAGAACATAATTACCATGAGTAACAAAAATCTACTGTATTACATGTTGGCCTACAACAACCAAGAATGTCTTGTAATTCTCTCAAAGGATGGCCTGGGGTACAGATATTCCTCAGACTCCTGCTGGGATAACAACCAGAGCCTTGCTTCACTAAGAACTTACTGCTTGCCAGGCACATCACCTTATAGTTTAGATGTATTATCTATTGATCCTTCCAACAACCCTGTAAGACAGATATTATTATTTTATCATTATTATGCCTGTATGAATGAGGAAACTGAAGCATACTAAGGTAACATCACAGGTCTAATATAACTCAGAAATAAAAAGTAGAAATAAGACTTGCACACAAGCCTTTCTGTCTTCACAGCCTGTGCTCTTATCCATTCCACTATCCAACCTCCCCAGGAAGTCTCTGGACCTTCTCTAGGACCAGACCCCTCTAATGGTCCTAGTGCCTTCCAGAGCCTCCCTTGATCATAGGGTCAGAGACCTTGAGCACCGGCAACTTGACTTCAGAGGAAGTCACAGGCCCATGGGTGACCAAGGACATCAGATATCCATGGCATTCATTGGCCAGACCTGTGCTGGGGGCATGGATCCAGTTAGGGAAACTCTCTGGTGTATGGTATGTCTGCTTCTGCTACTTTGGACACTTCAGGCCCACTGGCATTTGTAAAACAAGTGCCTACACAAGAAATCTTCAGATCTGAAAAATTGGTATTTCATACATCCTGGAAGGAACGCACTGCCGTCGAGCCGATTCTGACTTACAGCAACCCTATAGGACAGAGTAGAACTGCCCCATGAGGTTTCCAAGGCTGTAAATCCTTATGGGAGCAGACTGCCACGTCTTTCTCCCACGGAGCAACTGGTGGGTTCAAACCGCCGACCTTTCTTTTAGCAGCTGGGATCTTTAACCACTGCACCACCAGGGCTCCTTCTGGAAAAGATCCATCTCTAAAATGTCACCTGATACTAAAATGCTATTCTTCTTAAAAAGTAGAGATGAAAGCAATTTCTGCCAATTTTGATTATTGCCATAAGATTTCAAAAAGTTTCCAATAAGCTTCCCTCATAACCTAAACAGGGAGAAAAAAATCATATTATCATCTCTGCTTATCCAGACTGGGGTACTTTGGCCCTGCCCTCTTATCTTATCTAAGAATGGCATATGACTTCGCTGTATCCTATTTTAGAACAAAGCATTTAGATTACATGTCTTTTCTCTATCTATGACGTGGCTCATATTTTTGTGTTCCAGAAAACCAATGTTCAGTTCTCATCCTCAAAGACAAAAACAACCTCTTAAAAATGGACAACCATCCACAGGTGTGAGTCGTAAAGACACTTGGAAATTCTGGAGAAAAGAGAGGCATCATGTGCTGCAAAGTGAACATAAATTGGTTAATTCCTAACATTTTTTTTTTTTTTTTTCTCATTCGATTTAAAACCCAGCCGTGCTGATGGTCCATTTCCCCACTGCTCCTTTTCTGAGCATGAAATGAAAACTCTTGATAAAACATGACCCTTCAAGGAATAATCCAACTTCTCCAGAGGAAAAATAACAGCCTGACCAGAATATTCTTTAACAACAATGAAATAAGGAGACCAACCTCACCATGTATAAAGCTGTTCATAAAAAAAGTAAAGAACTCTGAATACAGCGTATTTTAATTTCTAAAATATGGGAAGACGGCTGATCAAATTGCTAAAGAGTTGTGTGTTTGTGGTTTTGGGTTTTTTTTTTTTCCCCTCCAGCTTCAGCTTAGTTTTGCAAGAATGAAAGGGGAACAGCCTCCTTAACCAACGGAGCTATTTCGGCAAGCATGCGGTTCATGACGTTTATGGCATCAACTTCAGCTGGAGAGCACAGAAGTTGTCTGCCTGCTGCCGCCACTGCTGCAACCTGGATTTTTCCTTTTCCTGGAGATTTTAGCTAGAAGAACTGTCCACCAGGGACAGCCCTCCAGCTCCTGTCAGTCCCAGGCCTGTGTGGCCCTCTCTTAGGGTCCTGTAACAGTGAGGAACGGGTCTGTGAGTGTTTGTGTGTGTCTTTGTTCCCTTCACATTTACTGGAACATGTATATGTGAGAGAGTGAGGAGTATATGTTAAAGAGAGATAGGAAGAGAAGGGACAAGAGACCAGTAGATTCTGTGGCCTCAGCTTCAGAAATCCTTCAGTAGACAGAGCGGCCTCTCAGCGAGCATAGCTTCGAGATGAAGTTCCCCTGGAAAATCCTTATGGCCGCTCCTCTTTTCTTTCTCCTGGCCCTTCACACCTCGGCCTCTCCAGCCTACAATGACCAGCCTACCACCAGTCACTCTGGCAGCCGAGTCTGTGTAGGTATGTAAATTTTTTTTTTTTTAATGGGGGCTAAACATCAGGATCCAATACTTTGTTTGCATAATGAATCACTTATTTAATTACTCTTACATCAATAGCTGTAAGATTCCAAGTGGCACCGATAACATCATCAATATAGGAAAAATTTGTCTTGGAGCAAGCATTCAAACTATAGACATGTGTGTATAGACATGTGTGTGTGTGTGTGTGTATGGAAGTGTGCTATACATGTGTGTATAGACGTGTGTATGTGTGTATAGCAGTGTGCTATACAGTTGCTAGTTTGAATTGGTGATAAAAATCTTTCACTTCATTGATGACTGGAATATTTTTCTCTTGAACAGGCAAGTGTAAGAGCCTGAAATTCTTATCCCTTTTCAGAAGGACAGTAGGCAGCATACCAGTAGAAAGAACATGGGCTTTGACCTCAGACAGACACACTCGGGCTTGAATTGCTGCCTGCTGCCATCCTCCCACCCTTCTGCCTCCTTCACATACTGACTGTGAAACTTTGAGCGAGCTACTTCACCCTCCCTGTGCCTCCGTGTCCTTACTGGTAAAACAGTGCCGGTAATACCCATCTTACAGGGATGCTGAGAGAATTGGTTGAGCTCATGCATGTGAATTTATGGTATTTACACACAGTGAGGACTCCACAGTCTTAGCTTTCTTCTTTCTCTCAGGGAGTCCAGACTTGGCAATAATAGGGCAGTCACCTGGAAACTTCGAACACTGAGATACAGATCCTTGACTTATCTTTTACTGAAATGTTTTATTTCCAAGTTCTTCTTCTTCTTCCTTTTTTAAGAGGGAGGTAGGAGGTAGGGTAACACCTTTGATACTTATATTATACTCAGAGTTTCCAGACAGTGGTATGCATTCAGATGGATCAGTTCATGGAGTCAAGGAGACTTCTAGAACTCTGAGTAGCAATTGCTCAATGAGCAAACCTCCAAACAGAATACTGGCTTAAGAATCCAGAATAAGAACCCTAGGGTAAGTATGGTGGCCACAAATGAAAAATCTGGGCACAAATTCTGATACTTATGAATTATTTCTGGAGACAATGCAGAAAAATATTTGACATTAGTATTTTCCTGAAAAACCATGACCTCAGGTCATTAGCTATGTTAGGGAACACATCTCTAGTTCCAAAGTCCCCTTTTAAATGAAATCTGTGCAGGTCTCACAGAACGGAGGACTGTTGTGAGCTGGATAGATTCTCTAAAAGGTGCTACCACAGAAATTACTGAGCTGTGGATTCAACATCCCCATCATAAACAAACAACCACAGCTCCAGTGACAAAGAGGACCTTGAAGTGGGGAGCCTGTAGACCAGGAGAGCAGGGTCTTGAATATATCCCAAAATCAGAGCTATGTGTGAAACCCAATGTCCCTTTTTCTAGTTTACCGTAACTTGTCTATACTGAGCTACACATCCCATGAGATCACTTACCAAATGCTGATGCTACTGTGTTTGAACAGGCAGTGCCTCTTTCTGCCACTTTTCAAATGTTATGGAATCAATTATAAACCACGTTCATTTTAGCAAAATATTTTCTTTATATGGGTGATTTGAGGGAGAGTAATCCTTATGTTTCCAAGTCATTGACATTTAAAATAATTTATTAAATGTTCGGCTTTTTTTAAAGCACTATTTGGTGCTCAAGCCGCTTTATAAAAAAAAAAAAAGAAAGAAAGAAAGAAAGAGGAAAAAAAACAAAAAGGAAGGAAGAAAAAAAAAGGGAAGGAAGGAAAAAAAAAAGAAGGAAGGAAATTTTCCCCCTCATCCGTGCATTCATGTTTGATCAAATACAAATATATACAATGCCTCAGAGTTAGGTTACAACCCCTTCTCTCTACCCACACACACCACACAGGATGGTCCGAGATGAATTTATAGTTTGAATGGTAAAGGGACAGAGGTGGCCCTGTGGTTTCAAGCCAATGGAAATGGTAAAATGACAGTGTTGCTGATAAAAATAGGAAAGGTTTAGACAAAGAAGAAAACGAGGTTGAAAACTTATCACAGTTTATATACAGGCAGTCCCTGGGTTCCAAATGTCTGACTTGGACAACTCATACTTAAGAGCGGACTGCCATAAAGTCTATTATATTAAAATTTTGAGTTAAATACAATGGTTCATAATAACAAATGCACATGTTACTTTGTGATGCTCATGAAAACATTGCATAGTTTGAAAGTGTTTCTTGAGTGTTTTATATGCATGCTGTTGTTAGGTGCTGTCAAATCAGTACCTACTCATAGTGACTCTATTTACAACAGAAAGGAACACTGCCCAGTCCTGCCCCATCCTCACAGTAGTTATTGTGCTTGAGCCCATTGTTGCAGCCACTGTGTCAATATATCTCGTTGAGGGTCTTCCTCTTTTTCTCTGACCCTGTGCTTTACCAAGCATGATGTCCTTCTCCCAGGACTTGTCTCGCCTAATAACATGTCTAGAGTATGTGAGACAAAGTCTTGTCAGTCTTGCTTCTAATAAACATTCTGGCTATACTTCCCTCAAGACACATTTGTTCCTTGTTTTGGCAGTCCGTGGTATATTCAATATTCTTCACCAACAGGATAATTCAAAAGCATCAATTCTTCTTAGGTCTTCTTTATTCATTGTCCAGCTTTCACATGCATATGAGGCAATTGAAAACACCATGGCTTGGGTCAGGCGCACCTTAGTCCTTAAAGTGACATCATTGCTTTTTAACACTTTAAAGAGGTCTTTTGCAGCAGATTTGCTGATTGCAATGCATAGAAAGGTGAAATATATACTATATATAACTTATTTAACTGACGCTAAATAAGAGCCATATGTACCTGTTCTGATTTACCTACAAATTCAACTTAAAGACAGATGTAGGAATGGATCTCATTCATAAACCAGGGACTGCCTGTATCCAGAAATTTCACTTTCCTTGTTTCTCTATAACTGAACACCATTTCTGCTGTTAGCAGAAAATATTTAATCTTGCCACTTACGTGTTTAAATTTACCATATTTTTACTTAAATAACACAAGCTTTCTACATTTGTTTGCCAACTGCACCCACCCCCCATGAGATATTTTTGTAAGCGCCCTATGCCAATTTTTAGAGGAGGGTGAGTTTGGCAAACAAACATAGAAGGCATGCGTTATTTGAGTAAAAATTCAGAGTTCTCCACTCCTTCCCTCCTCTCCGAGGCTTGATCTCAGTTTCCAAAGTGGGCTCGTGTATCACCCTGACATTCATAGCTTGAGGTCTTTGGGGACAGGCCTCTGCCCTCCACCCTCGGAGCTCCCACAGATGAACTACAGATCAGAAGTCTAGGCATGGCATAACTGTGTTCTCTGCTCCGGGTTTTACAAGGTTGAAAGCAAGAAGTTGGCCAGGGCTGTAATCTGGTTTGAGACTTGAGGTCCTTTTCCAAACTTACTGATTGTTTGTAGAATTCATCTTTTTTGCAGTTGCAGGACTAAAGTCTCATTTTCTTTTATTCTTTTTTTTTTTAAGCGTTTGTTTAATTGTACTTTAGATGAAGGTTTACAGAGCAAACTAGTTTCTCATTAAATAATTAATACACCTATTGTTTTGTGATATTGGTTGCCAACCGCCCGATAGGTCAACTTTCTCCTTCCCTTATTGACTTTAGGTTCCCCATTACCAGCTTTCCTGTCCCCTCCTTTGTTCTCGTCCTTGTCCCAGGGCTTGTATGCCCATTTAGTCTCATCTTGTTTTATGGGCCTGTCTAATCCTTTACTGAAGAGTGAACCTCAGGAGTGACTTCAGTACTGAGGTATAAGAGTGTCCAGGGGCCATACTCTCAGGGTTTCTTCAGTCTCTGTCAGACCAGTAATTCTGGTCTTTTTATTTATTTATTTTTTGAGTGGATCATATGGTATTTCTATTTCTAGCTTTTTAAGGAAGCGCCATATCGTTTTCCAAAATGGGTATACCATTTTGCATTCCCACCAGCAGTGCAGAAGAGTTCCAATCTCCTGCAGCCTCTCCTATATTTATTGTTTTCTGTTTTTTTTTATTTGTGCCAGTAATGCCAGGGTGAGATGGTATCTAATTGTGGTTTTGATTTGCATTTCTCTGCTGGCTAGTGATCTCCAGCATTTCCTCATGAATCTGTTAGCCGCTTGAATGTCTTCTTTAGTGAAGTGTCTATTCATATGCTTTGCCCATTTTTTAACTGGATTATTTGTCTTTTTGTCATAGAGATGCTGGGTTTTCCTGTAGATTTTAGAGATTAGACCTTTGTTGGATTTGTCATAGTCAAAAAATTTTTCCCAGTCTGTAGGTTGTCTTTTTACTCTTTTGGTTAAGTCTTTTGATGAGCGTAAGTGTTTGATTTTTAGAAGATCCCAGTTATCTAGCCTATCTTCTGGTGTTTCCGTATCGTTAGTTGTGATTTAAATCCTGTTAATGCCATGTATTAGGGCCTCTAGTGTTGACCCTATTTTTTCTTCCATGATCTGTATAGTTTTTCATTTTATATTTAGGTCTTTGATCCATTTTGAATTGATTTTTGTGTGTGGTGTGAGGTATGGGTCCTGTTTCATTTTTTTGCTGATGGACATCCAGTTTTGCCACCACCAATTGTTAAAAAGACTATCTTCTCCCCGTTAGATGGATTTTGGCCTTTGTCGATGATCAGGTGACCGTAGGTGGATGGATTTACGTCTGGGCTCTGAATTCTGTTCCAATGGTCAATGTATCTGTTGTTGTACCAGGCTGTTTTGACTACCATAACTCTGTAGTAGGTTCTAAAGTTCTAAGGTCAGGTAGTGCGAGTCCTCCTACTCTATTCTTCTTCTTCAATAGTACTTTACTTATCCAGGGCCTCTTTTCTTTCCATATAAAGTTAATTATTAGTTTTTCCATCTCTTTAAAGAATGCAGTTGGTATTTGGATGAAGATTGCATTGTAATTGTAAATTGCTTTGGGTAGAATTGACATTTTCCCAATGTTGAGTCTGCCTATTCATGAGCATGGTTTTTC